TGTGATACTGCATGTCCCCCAGCCAATGGAACTGAGGGTCTCCTGTAACAGCCACAGGAGCTGTTGGCTCCCTGCCATCCTCTGAGGACTTAAGGGAATTTTATACCAGCTTTATTTTTGGCAGACTAACACTAGGCAGCTTTTCTTAGTACTGAGCCCAAGCACTGCATAAACCACATTAACCCCAGAGGTGGGCTTTAGTCCACAGCCCAGGGAGTGTGACAGCTGCTCTGACTGTATAGGAGGGAGAGGACTGGAAGATGAGCAAAACAGGACTTGTACTTTTCAGAGAGTAGCTGTGTGTTTACATAAATGACAGAATCATTAAGGTTGGAAAAGACCTGCAAGATCATCATGTCCAACCTTAGATCTAACACCACCCTGCCCACTGAACCATTCTGTGAAGTGCCACATTCAACCATTTTTGAATGCTTCCAGGGATGGTGACTCCACCACCTCCCTGGTGGCAGGGCACCCATTCTAATGCTTAACCACTCTTTCAGTGAGGGAATTTCTCCTCCCATCCACTCTCAACCTCCTCTGGCCCAACCTGAGGTTGTTTCCTCTCATCCTTTGCCTGGGAGAACAGACTGATCCCCACATGGCTACACACTCTCCTTTCAGGCAGTTGTAGAGAGGGACCAGGTCTCCCCTGAGCCTCCTTTTCTCCAGGCTAAACACCCCAGGCCCTTCAGCTGTTCCTCACAGGATTTGTGCTCCAGACCCTTCCCCAGTTCCACTGCCCTTCTCTGGACTCGCTCCATCACTTCAATGTCCTTCTTGTAATGTGGGACCCAGAACTGAGCACACTTGAGCTGTGGCCTCCCCAGTGCTGATCAGGAGGGCAATCACTGCTTTGGTCCTGCTGGCCACGCTACTGCTGATGCGCTAAGCAATGAGCCAGGATGCCACTGGTCCTCTTGGCCACCTGGGCTCACTGCTGGCTCATGTTCAGCTGGCTGTTGACCAGCACCCCGAGGTCCTTTTGTGCTGGCAAGTTTTCCAGCCTCTTGTCCCCCCCAGCCGGTAGCACTACAGGTGCTTGTGACTCAAGGGCAGGACCTGGCACTTGGTCTTTTTGAACCTCGTACCACTGGCTACTGCCCATGGATCCCTGCTATCCAGATCCCTCTGCAGAGCCTTCCTACCCTACAGCAGATCAAGACTCCCATCCAGCTTGGTGTTCTGATGCCTTTTTCAACCTAGAAATGAAACAACACACTTTCAAGATAAAATGAGCAGAGGAAGAAATGTAAAAGCGGATCTTTATTTGAAGGCCTCCAGAAGCAGTTGGAAAAATGGAAAAATGTCCACAAAATCCCACTCCCACAGGGATGAATACAGTTTTATTTGTTTTAGGAAATTAGTGTAATTGACAAAAATCAGGATGAAAATTAGGAGGACAAGTGGTGATGCAATTCCCCCTCGGGTAAAGCCCCTTTTCAGGAGACCTCCCTTGGTACTTGCTGTACTTTGTTTATGAAAATGTGTCTCAAAGAGCTGTTTTCAACTTTAGTAGCCACGGAGACCTAAGGTAGCATAGGGATCCTGAATTTTGCTTTTTCTTCCTGCCTAGAAAAATGCTGAAACTAAGTTTCAATAAGAAGTTATACTGTACACCTTACATGCATAAGGAATACAGTGAATATAGAGGAGGAGAAAAGGTAAAAAAAAACCCAGCATAATTTCTCCCTTTCTTAGACAGTAACAAGACTCTCATTTGTCTAGTCTCTACTTCATATTTAATCACACCATCGTTATCATACAGATGCCAACTATAACTACAGCTACTATCAATACTTCTTTTATTTAGTTTGGTAACGATAAGTGACTGTACTAAAGACATATTCAAGATTTAGTGAGCTCCTTTGAGGTTTACCTGGTGTAGAATTTGAGTTGCTTTCAAATTTCAACCAAATCCTTCTTAATTTTGTCACTCTGATTTACATAAGGTCAATAACAGTGTTAACAATTTTGCAGCTAGTAGGAAATTACCAGTCATTAATAGTTTCACAGAATAAACTTACAGTGAGTTGGATACAACTGTTGGATGCAGTAATTCTTGGCTTCTAGCTGGATGCTGCAATTCTTAACTGCTGCCTTCTCCAGTTTTTGCCAGCTGATTTCTGAATAGAATTGGGCTGTTATTTAAACCCTCAGATGTCATAAATAAAAAATCTGCCAATTTTTTTTTGGGGAAAAAAAAGGGTTGCAGAACCAGTTAAACCAGTTGCTTCCATGGTGAAGTTCTATCTGTCTGTTATTTTAATCACCGGTCGTTCTCGTTAATTACTCCTTTTGTATCGGTATGGCCCTGCCTATGGCTAAGTTGTCCTTCTCCCCGGAAGGTGAGAGGAGGGGACGGGGGTGGGGGAAGGGGGGTGCACCAGAGAGAATGCCGAACAGCCTCGAGACCAGCATGCCATGGGAAGCAACCCCACTAAGCTTACGGAAAAGACCCCAAAAACAACGAGCACGAGCCAATACAGAATTAAGAGATTAGAGTGATGTCTGGACGTGAGGAACAAAGTACTGAATCTGCAGAGATGCTGAAAACCTTTGTTACCTCTTGCCCTGAGCATAGACCTCAGCTGGAACCAAGACTCGAGGCTGGAAAACTACAATGCTGGGAAACGCAGGGCTACACCCACTGTTCTCTGGGGCACGGACCCCCAGCTCTGCCCCTAGTGGACAAAGCTGCACTATTCCTCCTCCTCCGAGTCACCCTGGGAGTATTGACAGAGAAGCTGCGGACCCGAGCTTCTCAGCCTTGAGCTGATCACTTTTAATAAAGGCATTAAAAGGAGAAAAAGTCTCCTGCCCTGTTTATTTCATCAGGCAGGATGGCCTTGGTGAGCTGGCTCTTTTCCCCTGATTTAGAATTCTTCCACTTCATACCAGAGAGTCCTTGGCTTTTCCTTATTTGCAGGAGTGCAGGAGAAGGTGTTTTAGAATTTAATACAGCAAACCATCTTAAACTATCTGCTATTCTTCTCTTTTCGCAAAATTCCAACAGACCCTTCTTGGAAGAACAGAGAAACTGATAAATCACGTGGCGTTGTCCTAATTAATATTTTAAAGTTTGGAAGAAAGGTCTCATTTCTCTTACCCCTGTGGCACTAACAATACTTACAGTACCTTGACTTAGTTTCCCTTCTAAGTTTCCCTTCTAAGGGGGTTTATAAAACTCTGATTACTGACCTGTGCGGGGTGTCAGGAGCGGCTGCTCCGAGCAGAGTCTCGCAGCGCCCACCAGACCCGCCCGCTGCCCGTGGCTCCCTGCGGACACAGCGCCTCCTAGCGCGGGTGCGGGGACACGGCGCGGGGACGGTCCCGCGGTGGGGACACACCCGGCACGAGGGGCGCCCAGCTCCCTCCCGCCGCCGCGTTCGGTTTCCGTCTGAAACCGTCCTAGGGTGACGTTTGGATGCTTGTATCCCCATTCGTGTGTTCTGCTTATGCTGGATATTATGTTCTGTGCCTTCAAGATGCCCTGATCCGAATTTTCCCCTGGACTCTTTTTTCCTTACCCTTTTTGGAACCACTTGAACCTGCTCGGGACTGGGACCTGGGAAACACCGAGAGTTTGCACCTTGTGGCTGCAGCAGGTGCCCCAAGACCTGAGGGATTTGATAACAGAGCGACCACCCCCAAGAGAGACTCTGAATCTGTCATCTCCTCCAGAGCGGTGAAAGAGTGGTGCCATCCGGTGTTGTTCATTTTGTGTGCTGTGCCTGTTAAATAAACAGGTTCTTTCCTCTTCTGTCGGAGGAATCTTTCCCGAACCGGTTGCGGGGAGGGGCCGTGTAGGTTTGCTTCCTGGAGGGGCCCCCTTTGGAGGCTTTCTCCCAAATTTGCCTTAAACCAGGACAGAAACAAAGCTCGTTACTCCGGAAACCGCCACGGAGCCGTTCTCGCCTACAAACGACACTCCAGCTCCCCCGAGCGGCTCGGCTCAACTCNATGTTGTAAGGTGTGATTTGCTAGGTGATGCACTCAATTTCTTCATGTCATGTGTGCCACATGTTCCTGAGATGTAAAATTACACCTGTGCACCTGTTAGTTACTTGGTGTGTGTAAGTAAAAGGTGTTACAGTTAGTGTGCTAGTGGTCTCTTGCTCCTCAAAGCCTTCTCTGGACCTGTTTAGCTCTCTAGCAATGTTTAATGTCAAAAAATAAATTTAAAAAAAGCCCCAACAACCACCAAAACCTAGAAAACCATGAAATCCTCTTCCCCACAGAGAAACAGTGTTTATTGTAAGGTAAAGACTACAGTAAATGCATCAGAAAATAAATGATATCACCAAAACTTAAATGTCTGTCCCTACAGGCCCCATCTAACATGAAGTCAGTGCTGCAGGCTGGATGGCTGCTGACTGTGGCTGTTGGTAACATAATTGTCCTTATCGTGGCTGGGGTATCTGCAATCCAACAGCAGGTAAGTGTGCAAGCAGTAGGTGTGCTGTTATATTGCACTGGGTAAAAGCAGCTATTAGTGGTGCTCTGTAATGAATTAAAATGGCTTTCTGAGTGCCATTCTGTGTCACTCAATGTCTCTGAAACAGCTCTGACAGTCCCCAGTTGAAGCTAAATTTATTCAGAAAGAGCATGAAACAGAGACGTTGAGGTTTTTCAGGTAGAGTTTCTGATCTCTGCCCACATTTGTGGTTGCTAGGTCAGCTGTAAAAATTTTTAAGTGGAAGCAGAATCAGTACCAGCCCGGTTTTAGAGATCTGACCAAAAGGAAGGAGCTGAGTTTCCTTCCCAGTCTTTCACTCAATTCCCATTTCCTCCATGAAAAGGATGTTGCAGAGTTTTTTACCATTTACTGAATTTTTGTTTTTTCAGTAAAGATAGAAATGCTGAAGGAGCCTCAATTCTGAGTTGCTTTAATATGCATCATATGTTTAATTCCTATGAGCCATATGATACTTGTTATGTGTGCTCAGTTTCACATTCTGAGTTTCCTTCCTGAAAATACTAAAAGGGTGTAATACTCTTGACAAATGAATATTGGTGGATAAATTCTGGATTGTGTTTTACTGGTTTTTTTTTCTTTGCAGTGGGCAGAGTATGTGCTGTTTGCTTCCCTGCTGTTGGTAGTTTGCATCATTTTTGCTATCATGGCTTCTTTTTATACCTATATTGATCCAAATGAGATTGAAGCCCAGTTCAGCAAGGAAGAAAAGGAAGAAGACAAGAAAGATGAAGACACCAATGAAAAGGAAGCTGAAGCTCATTCTCAACTGTAAAAGCTGTACTCAAGGAGTGTCTGTAAATCATGGAATCATGGAAATCCCACTCACTCTCCTGCAGTCAGAGGAACCAGGGTATCAGTAATAACACTTTGGATTACATGTACAATGGGAGACATTAAGCAAAACTAAAGTGCAGCCTCTCTAGGGAAGCAACAGAAAAATATTAGTCTCTCTCTTGTACTGAATGTGGTATCCTGAAGAAACTCCAGCAGAAGTTGCACTCTTAATGTACCTCAATCTTAATTATTATAGCATTATAATCTTGAAATTTGACTTGGAACTATTGGACCCTTTGAAAAGATGTATTTTTATACTTTATTTCAATTTTATATCGTGAAGGAAACAAGACTTGTCAAGGAACAGCAATTGGAGCCAAGCTCTCTGCATGATCTCTCTAGCATCACTGTTACTTGAAGACAGCAGGTCACACGTGCCTTAAATTCTTTTGTACTTCCTTGTAGATAATGGGAGCAAAGCTCTGGCAGTGATCAGATTTAAAATGTTGTCTGTGTTCCAAGTGGCAGGAACTTGGATGTGCACTGTAACATAATGCTTTATCTGCCTGTTAACTACCATTTAACTCCTGTTATGTCTTTAGTTAATATTAGAAGTGCCCACTCAGGTGAAATGATAACAGCAAATGACCTTTGGAACAAGCAAGAGCAATAAAACTTACATAATAACAAAATAAGGGAAGTGTTTTAAGAACATGGCTTACAGTTGCATGGTAACAAAACTCCATACCGCCTCTGTGGTGCCTTTATCTAC